ACCGGTTGGGCTTTGTAGCGGAGACGTAATGTGTTTCCTGTGAGATACGGACTGAGGTTTCTGCCCACAGAGTATATTTGTGTGTTCCGTATGATTCTCACAATAAACAGCGGCTGTTTCCCTAAACAGCATTAACCGGCTGGGCTTTGTAGCGGAGATGTAATGTGTTTCCTGTGAGGCACGGACTGAGTTTTCTGCCCACAGAGTGTATCTGTGTGTTCCGTATGGTTCTCACAATAAACAGCAACTGTTTCCCTAAACAGTATTAACCGGTTGGGCTTTGTAGTGGAGACGTAATGTGTTTCCTGTGAGGTACGGACTGAGTTTTCTTCCCACAGAGTATATTTGTGTGTTCCGTATGGTTCTCACAATAAATTGCGACTGTTTCCCTAAGCAGCATTAACCGGCTGGGCTTTGTAGCGGAAATGTAATGTGTTTTCCGTGAGGTACGGGCTGAGTTTTCTGCCCACAGAGTGTATTTGTGTGTTCCGTATGGTTCTCACAATAAACAGCGACTGTTTCCCTAAACAGCATTAACCGGAAGGGCTTTGTAGCGGAGAAGTTATGTGTTTCCTGTGAGGTAGATCTGAATTCTTATATACAGTATATTTATGTTTACACGAACTTCCTCCGCGTGGAGGAGGATTCAATTACCTCCACTGTGGCCCTGTGAGTCGTATGAGACGAATAGGGAATCCAGTGCCTGGGGGTATAACTGGGCCACTCTTTTCCTTAAATTAACAGACCCAAAGAAAAGTAAGTGAAAAACGTTAACATCTCCAAAAACAAATAACACAAGAATAAAGGGCGAAATTCCTTTGAAGCTGGAGAGCTTTCTGAACATAGACGATTTTTCTTCTGTACGGTATGGCGTACCAATAATATTACGGCGAGCCAACAATGTTAATCAGTTTATAAAAGCCAATCCGTAAGAATATATAAAGAAATATGACATATAGTGTATAAAATACCGATGGATACACTCGGTTTGCATGGAAATTGTAAGCTTAGTTCATTATACAGAAATTGCAACTAAAAACGGCACCTGAAGATGGCAAATATGTTCCGAAACATGTCCTAGACAGTAAACTTCACCTGCCGGAAATTGTATTAACAGGAATATAATAGAGGAACTAACAAATAATCGATATAAGGTAGAATTTTATCAGAATAGCGGCAATCATGACATTTACTTTACTATAACGTGAATATGAACATATTATGTTACGTTTGCAACGATTTGCACGCTCCACCATCGCTGCGGATAACATTTTAAACTAATTAAGGGGTACTCATTATAACAATTAGCTTAAAATTTAGGCTGTGGGGGGAACCTTATATTTCACTAGTCCTTCACTGTTATGACCCTTGACCAGAATTAATCAAACCATAGAGTTCAAACAATTACGCTTACACTTGCTGCGTGCGTCGGTATAGAGACGGGTTGGAGGCCCAGGATTCGAATCCAATCAGTGGAAAGAGACTTTTCTCTTCTACACGTCGTCCAGAGGGGCTCTGGGGTCCACCCAGCTTCCTATCCAATGGGTATGGGGAGTCTTTTCAAGTAAGGTGAAGCGATGGGGACGTGAAACCAACCCAGGCTTCTGTTTAGTGCCGACATCAAGAATGGTGGAGCTATACATCCACGTCCCCGTAAGTCTTCATGGCCTGGTGCTTAACTAATTATGCACAGTCATTTCGAACCTGAAGATGGAGGCACAGTGTTTCTCCGAAAGTTTGATATCCGCCACAAATATTACAAGTTTTCACACAAAATATTAAATTCTGAAACGTTAATTACGTGTTCACAAAAGCTGATGCATTTCAAACTTTGTACATAATTTGGTCATTTATTATTAACAGTTACAAACATGGCTACGGCGCGTAACTAAGGTACGCACATTATGAAGAGGAAAGCGCCACTACATTCTATACTCAGCCTTATGTAAGCAGACTGAGCAGCGCAGTAATCGTCAGTTTATCGTTACATCATTCTCTCGCAGGTTCCGTGGAAACCAAATGCAAAAGCGATCTATCTAACACAACATTTACAACGACTATACGAATTATGTATGTATTCGAAATGTTTTAAGCAATACTGAAGGACTTTTTTTCAATTTACCTAATCCTTCCAGCCGCACTATGGCCCTGGGGTCGACTTAGCCTCTAATACAAATGAGTACCAAGAATCCTCATGGGGGTAAAGGGCGGCCGGCGAGTGAGTCTGACAACCTCACCGCCATCTGTGAGCCGATTGTCTAGAAAATGTGGGAGCCTCGACGTCTCACAACCCTATGGGTCTCCACGGCCTGTTACAGGGATAGTTTTACTTAATTTGGTTTTTACTGTATGTGTATAAAAGTCAGTTTAAGGAGAGACACATGTATAGAAGTATAGTAGAAGAGTAGGTGAAAAGGAAAGTCATGAGAGAAGTAACAGACGCTTGACTGTGGGCAGAAGAAAGAGCGTCGTTTTGTTAGACGGTGCCCAGGGTTCGCCCACTCGTCCATCTGACATGGGCAGCGTGGAAGTGAAGAAACTGTTGATTGAGACAGCAGCAACGGGAGTTTCAGAATTAACCATGAATTACACAATTTACGGAAGAAAATGTCATGGTTTTCAGCATAGGGTTTTAATTTTGACGAGTTTAATTCGTGAGGGTTGCATGAGAAGCGTCCAGCAGCAACTGGGAACGTGGGAACCATCTCAGCATCTAACTGAAGACAGAGGAAAACCAAGAAAACATGTGTCCAGACGGCAGGACGCAGGACCTTCAGAATGCACATTGACTTCAAGCCAGCAGTCCTGTAAACATAATAATATGGGAGATTCCCTGAAGTTTCCCTAATATATGTGCTGCTACTTTAATGATAATACTGTCACGTGATAATGGCTATAAATAGAGTTTGTATTGGTAATTGGATTTATTGAACACTTACAGAGAGCAATTGCAAGTAGCTACAATGCTATCGCTATTTCACACATTCTGTAGTTCATTACAGCACGTACTAATTCTTCTCAGTCTGCTGTGTTATCACCAGTCGTTACTCGGTCACGGATCCCAACAATGTCCTCTGCTTCCGTAGTCACTTTCTTACTGACTGGTGACTGTCCCACAACTAACTCGTTGTTCCAATTGTTCTGCTTATAACATCTCGGCATGGACCGCAGAGGAAACACCCTTCTTCTGTTGCTGATCAATTATTGCTTAGCGGACAGCGCAGAAAACACAATTCCTCTGTTGCTGTTTGCGACCCGATGCATAGCAATGACCGCTGTACAGTCGCCTAACGACGGGTCTACACGCCACAATATGAATAACATGTCACGTGTAACAATACACTGGTTACTGACAATATAAAATAAGAAATGAACGAAAAGTCAATTTGATGTGTTTGTTACTTATCAAGAGGACGCGAACCTCAGGAAGAACAATAAACTACAGTAATATGTGACATGGACAATACCTTTAATTTTTGTTTCCCTCCATCTTCATGTCTTGGTTAATATTTACCCAAATTATTTTAATGTAAAGGAGGGGGAGGAAGGAAATGGGAGACAAATGACGCCTGAATGTGTAAATGATGAGGAAGCAGGTTTGGTACGAAAGTCTGTCTAATAACTGAGACATCCTAATGAATTTTCAAGGGCTACTACAATAGATAATTCCCTTTTTACTTCTGCCAGTCTAACCACAGATCAGCTGGATACATTTGAAAGAGCATCGAAACTTCTTGTTCCATAAATTGAATACAGATACTGGAACACGTAGGAGCATGTTTATTGCTGTGTATTAGCAACACGGCTGTTGTAATAGCGTGCGATTTGTCCGAAGCTGCGGGGACGGCGAAGCACACGCTGCGCGCGAGATTGAACGCAAATGACGCGACATTCCTTGCGATATAAACAAGGGCCAAGTGGCGAGGATGCTGCAAGCACTGGCATTGCACACATGCGCAGCATGAGGGCCGGAGAAAGTAGGGACGTGAGCTAATGTGTCTCCTGCAACACCCAGATGCAACCGGGTCACACACTGCAATGAATGGAAATGTGTTGCCTATATCAGATTGGTCACATTTTCGCGTTCGTAAGAAATTGCCGGCCGTGCTCCGGGGCGCCGTCGGACGGTAGAGGAGAGAGAGGTACCTGGGAAACGGGGGATCCAGGGAAAATTGCTTTCAAACATACAATCAATAAGAATATCTTAAAAAATTCCAAGGCCATAGCTGTCCGGCTTATAGTATGGCTGTGGTATGTCGTAGATGCATGGGCATTGTCTACTCAGAGATATTCTGTAGACAGGCATTCTGTAGCCCCCCCCCCCGGTCCAGAACTGGAGGCGCGCTCCAGTTCGGAAATATAGATGCTCCACTTGAGAAACAGGTAGACGCCAAGTTCACGTGAACAGAATCTCCAGACGCTCCAGTATGAACGTAAGCAGATGCTCCAGTTCAGTTCCATAAGGACGCTGTACTTCAGAACTTTGCGGACAGTTCCGGTTCAAAACTAAGTAGGCAGCTGGACCGCGCCATAGCTAAAGCGGTTTGTCGCTGGCTTCCCACCGCGGCGGCCCGGGTTCGATCCAAGGTCTGGTCAAGTGGGATTTGTGGTGGACAAATTGGCGTTGGGGCAGGTTTTCTCCGCGTACTTCGGTTTCCCTGCCAATCTTCATTCCACCAACTGCTCTACAATCACTCTCACCTATCATCTGGGGCTGGTACAATAGGCCAGAAGTGGCCGCAGTACAAGGGACTTAGTCCCACCCCACTAGCAATAAAAAAAAGTAGGCAGCTGAATTCAGAATTAGATAGAGGCTCAAATTTCAGCATCCGATAGACGCCTCAGTTCAGTAGTAGGTAGGCGCTCCAGTTTCAGAACTAAGTAGAGTCTCCAGTTCAGAACTGAGTATATAACAGTTCAGTTATAGATGGACGCTTTAGTTCAGAACTACTTTGGCTCTCCAGTGCAGAACTAGTTTGGTTCTCCAGTGCAGAACCAGTTTAGTTGTCCAGAGCAGAAGTACTTTGGCTCTCCAGTGCAGAACTAGTTTGGTTGTCCAGTGCAGTACTAGTTTGGTTGCCCACAGCAGAATTACCTTGGCTGTCTAGAGCAGAACTAGTTTGGCTCTCCAGTGCAAAGCTAGTTTGACTCTTCAGTGCAGAACTACTTTGGCTGTCTAGTGCAGAACTAGTTTGGCTCTCCAGTTCAGAACTAGTTTGGCTGTCCAGAGCAGAACTACCTTGGCTGTCTAGTGCAGAATTACTTTGGCTCTCCAGTGCAGAACTAGTTTAGTTGTCCAGAGCAGAAGTACTTTGGCTCTCCAGTGCAGAACTAGTTTGGCTGTCCAGAGCAGAACTACCTTGTCTGTCTAGTGCAGAACTACTTTGGCTCTCCAGTGCAGAACTAGTTTGGCTGTCCAGAGCAGAACTACCTTGTCTGTCTAGTGCAGAACTACTTTGGCTCTCCAGTGCAGAACTAGTTTGGTTGTCCAGAGCAGAAGTACTTTGGCTCTCCAGTGCAGAACTACTTTGGATCTCCAATGTAGAACTAGTTTGATTGTCCAGAGCAGAACTACTTTGGCTCTCCAGTGCAGAACTAGTTTGGCTCTCCAGTGCAGAACTACTTTGGCTCTCCAGTGCAGAACTAGTTTGACTCTCCAGTGCAGAACTACTTTGGCTCTTCAGTGCAGAACTACTTTGGCTCTCCAGTGTAGAACTGCGTTGGCTCCAGCTCAGTTCTAGATAGATTCTCCATTTCACGGGTGAGTAGACGCTCCAGTTGAGAACTGCCGGCTTGTTCATTCCTGTCTCACTGAACAAGAAAGTCCATTGCTCAGATTTAACGATTTTAGAAATAATTTGATGGATAAATACGCCCACAAAAGCACACAGGACAGAAAGTTGCCGATTTAACATTAAGACAATAGGACCACTAAATCTTCGTTAAGAATGGCTGAGGCGGGTTCCAGCAACCCACACACTCGTAAATGTAGGCTGGCTGTTCAAAAACCTTGTTAGTTGGCAGGTATGAAGAGCATTGCTATCTTCTGACGTGTGACTCTATGTGGTCTGATATAAGTATAAAGACGTTTCGGAGGAAATATTGCCTCCATCTTCAGGGTCGAAGATTAAAACAAGGAAGAAACCAACAAAAGCGCAATCAGCTTCACCTCTTTTCTGTTATGAAAGCAGGTCTTCTACCATACTTAGAGAACACTACATTCAGGAGTGCAAATCAAAATTTTGAAGAGACACAACCAACATTTTTCAATTATGGCAAAGGTTTTCAAAGCGAGGGGCTTCCCTCTGGTCGGGGGGACGACGATACTAGTTGGTTAGGTTGTCACGGTCTGAATTTATTGTAATTGTCAAGTGTCATAACATTTAAATAATCAAAATAATATTGATAAAATCCTAAAAGTTGATTTAAAAATAGAAAAGCTCTTATTTATAAATACATACAAATTTAAGAAGGCGTGAGACAAAATTTTTGTTAACCGGAGGAGTTTTCCCCGGGGGTAAAGCTTCAGGGGCGTGAAGCTGACCACTCACCTCCAACCAGTGCCGAGGTCAAGAAAATGTGGATGTATACAACCGCTCCACCTTACGCCTTCCTGGCGTAGTGCTTAATTAGTTAAGCACAGGTACAACTTTACTCAGACGGGGCGCCATTATATACAATTTGGAAGCTACTGTATTATGGTAAAGATGAAGTTACCATTGTGCTTAATTAATTAAGGACCACGCCATGAAGATGAATGGGGTAATGAAGGTAAAGCTCCACTCTTTTTAAATTCTACAGCTCGATGTCCGTGCTGCACTAAAAATGGTTAACAGGCCGTGGAGGCCCATGGGGTTGTGAGACGCCGAGGCTCCCACATTTTCTAGACAATCTACTCACATATGGCGGTGAGGTCAGCCTTACGCGCCGGACGCCTTTTACCCCCATGCACAGTAAGAGACCCATATCGTCAGAATGTGCTTAACTTCAAGTCTCAATTTTTCAGCTTTTATTTATTACTTTATAAAATTTGAAATTATGGACAGATCTAGCTCACTAGATTAGAATTCCTGTTTCTTCAAGAGAATTAATTGTTACTGCTCTAGTTCGCAGTACAATATCCTATTCGAGTGAGACAAGGAGACTGGATACAGTTAACACGCCTGTCTATAGGTGTCGCATTGATCAGTACTAAGAAAGAATACTTTCTCTTCTTGACGACAGATGGAGCAAATTTCCCTGTAAAATGATGCGTCATTTGGGGGCAGATGGGCATTGCCTAGGCAATGTATATACATGTATTTTTTTCTCAAAAAAAAAAAACGTCATTTACCAAAACGTTCAAGAGCTGAAAGTGAGGAAGTTAAATCTAATTCGTTATATTATAAAGCCTCAAAAGCGGGACTTAAATAGCTGTTTACGGTACAGTAGCACTTAGTGAAGAAAACGCTTGCTGAAAATGAACGGGAATCTATGCAATACATAAATAATTCAAATCTGTTTCATATGATTTATAACCCCCTTGTAATTAACGCTCATAATAGACCCCAAAGCCCGAAGCCCACGTTAGAGCTACTCTCCTTCGCCTTTTCGGCTTCTCAACCAAAATTGGGTATTCATTCCTTGTGTCTTCAATTCTATACATGTGTCCAGCTAATAGTATCTTCCTTAATAATTTTTCTTACTCCTTATAGAAGTTTTTTCTGGGGGGAATCTTATTTAGCGGTGTAATGTTGAAGTTATTAGTGGGAGAGACAGAAGGAAAGAGACCACTGGGAAAACCAAGGCGTAGGTGGATGGACAATATTAAAATGGATCCTAGAGAGATAGGATGGGATGGTATGGATTGGCTTGATCTGGCTCAGGATAGGGACCAGTGGAGGACTCTTGTGAACACGGTAATGAACCTTCGGGTTGCATAAAATGCTGGGAAATTGAGTAGCTGCACAATTGGCGGCTTCTCAAGAAGGGCTCAGCTCCATAAGTATGTAAGTAAGTAAGAAATGAAGTTTCTTAAGGCAAAGTTTTGCATTTTAGCACTTAGTCTCGTTCAGTTCAACCGAAACCCGAATTATCCTGTGGGATGTTTATCTCTTCTATGAGGCATCAGGATCCCCCTGCAGGCCACACTACACGGCAGTACAGCCCGGCAGATCACTCATAGCCAACGCGGTCATACACATTTCGACGTAGCAAGATTTAGTTTACTTGCTCCTGTTGTTCATTTCACGACACTGACACTAACTCAGACTATATAGCGTCAAATGATTGGATTACCGTTCAGAAAGAATATGAAAGGAGCTGTCGTGGCCAAATTTAAGGCGCTACCTCTCCTTCGTTACGGGTTGGATGACCGAGGAGTCGTGGTTCGATCCCCGGCATGAGCAAGAGACTTTTTTTTATTCTCCACAGCGTCCAGACCGGTTCCGGGATCCATCCAATTTCCTACACAAATGATATGGAGGCTACTTCACCGGAAGTGAAGCGGCCGAAGCGTGAAACTGAACGCTACTTTCGAGGTTAAGAACAAACGACGCTGTATTTCCACTCCCGGTGCCTCGATGGTGCTTTGCTTAATTAAGCAGAGACAACTTCGCTTTCAGTGTCTTGGCATTTGGTTGGACGGACCGAAGAAAACCATGATAAATCTAAAGGAAGTCCGTATCACGTCTGAGAATCGAACCGGGCACACCCAGAATATAACTCCGAACCCTCAGCGATTGTGCCGGTTGGTTAGGTAAGCAGCAAGGCCATGCAAAAGGTAGCTGCAACAAGTTCTATACTCTGCCCGAAACTGCTTTGTGGCTACGTCACACCTGAAGTTAATAACCTTACGGAAGGAAGGTCCTCTTTGTTCTAGGAGATCTTCTGCATTGTGATTTCTGTTTCCATCCATACCTGTGTACCGAATGTAGCAATTTTCTAAGAAATTACCTTCCGACCTACGTCACTCCTTGATGATGACGCAACCTCAGAGATGTTTTAGACACATTATACAAGGTAAATACCGGTCACGATAGCCGAGCGGTCTGAGACATGAACTGTCTTTGCTCGCTCGGAAGCCAGGATCGTGGGTTCGAATCCCACTCAAGGTATGAATGTTTGATGTATGCGTTTATTCTGTGTTTGTGTTGTCCTGTGTTTAGGTAGAGGCCTTGCGACGAGCTGATCACCCGTTCAAGGAGTCCTACCGTCTGTAAAACTGATCATGAAACTCAGAAATCAGCCCTATGCTTTAAAGTGGAAACTAGAGGAGAAAAAAAATACAAGGTAAGTACATTTAGGCAGACGTGCACTTTGAGCCAAACGGGAGAGTCGATTGTGGCTATGCGTGCTACCGATCTATGATCTAAACAAGGAATTCTCATTAGTTTTGCTGCAGTGGTTTCATTGCCTTGCAGTTTCCTGGCTAAGACTATAGGCGTCAGCACATTCTGTTTCGTGAATTATGAAAATAAGCTACAATACAAAGTTCACAGAATCGGTTCCACGTTTCTTAAGAAGTGATATTATATTCTGCAGTGAGCTCTGGATTTATAATAAATTTAAACTAAAAAAAAACTAGTTTAACAGAAAAACCGTCAAGAAAAGATAACTTGTCTTTAATAGTTTCGGCGAAAAATATCTTAAATTAAAAATGTTTTACAGAGGGGTAATGAAACAAAGAAGAAAGCCCCTTACATTTTATGAGTACATAACGAAGTATTTCCGCATGTCCTCGATACCAGGTGTGAGGCATCTCGTACATCCTAAGCGACATCTGCTGGAAACGTAAGTCACCATTTCTTTAGTCGCTTACTTTTTAATAATGTTGTAATCACGTGACAGGTACGACTCTCGGCCGGGACATAGTCCATCCTGACTTATTCTATGATTCCCCACGATCTTCCCGGCAAATACAGGGGTATCTACTCGCTTAGGCCAGCACCGCTTCCTTCCAAATCCCTTTCAATTCAATAATCATCCTGTGGACACTGATAGTGCCGTTAGGCAGCTCACAGAAGGACCTTATCGAGAGCTCGGACAATATAGCGCAGAATGGAATAATGAACTAGAATTCTGTTTAAATACAAGTTCTCACGGCGGGGAAAATGAAGAGTACTATTTTCTGGGATGTGACGCCGTGTATTCGGGTAGAAGTTTATCGACGTTTTAGCGTCGAAGAGAAAACTATAAGAGTGCTCTGCTTGCTTGGTTTCCTCTTCCATTACTAACATGAAGACAGTAAGTTTCTCCGAAACGTCTGTACTATTTTCACGTGTATGGTGCTACTCGTCACGAAAATAACGGGTTCTACATCGGATGATTGGATTTATTGGCACCTCGGTTACAAGTTTTCTTAATCACAGTTACTAAAGCACTATCGCTGATTTACACAATTTGCAGTTCACCGTTGCACACGCACTAGGATTCTCCGTCTTCATAGTCGTTTCCTGGCAATGGATCTCAACACACAATCTATCACTTCAGATCACTATGAAGTCTTCTTGTCTGTTCGTCGTCAATCACTTTAGAACCTCAGAACTCAACCAAAACCTATCCTGTACTGCCTTCTCGGTTATTCTGGAGCCTATTATAATTCCTCGGCAAGGGCCCTACATGTGTCAGACTACGAGATTAGTCCGTTATCAGCGCTGAGAGTGGCGCTGACCTTATAGTAAACATAGACTCGTATTGTTGTGTAACCTAGCAACGGAATATTTACCAAGAACCTGTCTTCCCTGCCTAGCAATGGGCGTACATGCAACATTGCTCCCTCCTTAAGGCTATTCGTCCCGAATAGCCTATAGGAATACCGCCTGTTTTTCTTTTCCGAGAGTTCCTGCTCGTGACGTCTTCTTGTGGTTCGGTCTTTCCCGCGGTAACCACTCTCCAATCGCTACAATCTCTCCCTCCTTAAGTGCGCTCGTCCCGAGCAGCTCCCTGTTAAGGCAACAGTAGATCCAGGTGTATATCCATTATCCATTTTTTTTCCTTACTCCAAACGGTGGGGCCATAACTCCTGGAGTGACCGGTGCTCCCACATCCCCGGCTCTTACCCCGTGTGCAGCCTCTTCTTCAGCTTCGGAGGGGGCCCACCCCTCCTTACCTCAACCCGCCGGACATCCAATTACTCGCTTCAGGAACTCCAGTCCGAAAGCCTTCCTGTCGAACTCCTTTGATATTCTCTCGGTCTTAAGATACAGCTGCCGTCTTGTATCTTGGTACTTTATTCTTTGTTATATATTATTATTTTTATTACTAAAGTCAGGTAATAGTTTAGAGGCGAGGAAGCAAAATGCATTAACATTGTCGCAATATCTATTATAAACCGTAATGTGAAATTAATGATGATAATAATAACAAACTGCTGTTTCAGTATCCTGTGGTTGGCACTGCTGGTGTTCTCAGTGACACTAAGTGTTAGTGTAATTATGACCAACTGGAAGCGGTACAGCGCCAATCCCATCCTGGTATCGCTGGAGAAGAACTACAGAGACTGGGAATTCGAATTTCCCGCCATGACCCTCTGCCATGACGACAGAGTGAACGAGAGCAAAGCGGAGGAATACATAGAGAAGTTAGTGTAAACCGTGTCCGCAACATCTCTGAGGGTGCGTCACCATCAGATAGTGACGTACATCGTCACTTCATCGTTAGAATATTGTAAATCTATTTCCTGGCTGCTCACCAAACTGAAATGTACCAAAAATGTTACTCTGAATATTCGAATTAACTTACAGCACGAAGCCGTGGTTTCTGGGAGAGAGTGCACGTTGCTTGGTTAGATTCGAACTACACAGACCTCCGGAAATGCCCAATGAGAGTGAACGTTTGTACTGGGATATATACTGCCACTTCCATGCGCATGTCCATGTAAAATTAACTCCGATTCGACCTAATTCATTGTACCATTTCCATATTTTATACACTTTTATGTTTCAACAAAATTGCACTTCCAGATATTTGTAATCGATTTGTATCACCGACCGCCTCTGTGGTCTAGTGGTCAGAGTTCCTAGATCCAGAGGTCCCGGGTTCTATTCCTGGCGGTATGAGATTTTCTGAGAAGTACTGGATCCTGAATGGGGTCCACTCAGCCTCGTGAGGATAATTTAGGAGCTACTTCAATGAAAAAGTAGCGGCTCCGAACTAGAAAACCGAAATTAGCGGGCATGGGGATTCGTTGCCTTGACCACGCGACACCCTCTATCCGCTAAAGTTGGCACTAAACTTCCCCGACAAGCAGCGGTCGCTCGGCCGGTATAGTTCGCTTGCGGACTCAAGGCACCTAATGGTGACCGTTTACGAGAGAAATATGTAGTCTGCAGTTAGAATAAGAAACAAAAACTTTCTCTTTTAACATAAGCAGAATTTCTGGTTAGCCGATCACAGTGGCCGCGCCCGCTCAAACACTGGGATCGTGGGTTCGAATCGCACTCGAGGCATGGATTTCTGCCCTGTGTGGAGGTAACGGCCCTGCGACAGGCCGATCCCCCGGTCCAAGGAGTCCTACCGATCGTGTAAAAGATAAGGAAACTGAAGAGACGGCCAAGTTCCAACTAAGGGCTGTAGAGCCACAGATACCTGTAGACAGAACTGGAGGTTATCACAGACGTGGGTATGAAGTTACATCCCAGGAGACAGAACACTTTTTAACGCAATTTTGCGTGATGATTAATTTCACGCCTTGCTAAATTATGTTCCAAACTTATGCTGGGAAACGAAATTACCATACCAAGGTCTCCTTAAATATACAGGGAACTTTCCTACGTAAGGTTGCCTATTCAGGAGATGACGTACTCTCACAGATCTTTCAGACAGACAATAACTTTCTATTACAGTTTGAAAAATATTGGTAATATTACACAAAGAACATTTTACAGACGCATTCTGAAGAAGGAATTGTGAATGCCTTGCTAAAATATCTGAAGAATTAATTCAGATAAGCTAAGAAAAGTAACAATGACCTTATGTGATAAGGGTAAAGGCAAGATGGAGTTGACTATGTACTTAATTAATTAAGCACTAAGCCATGAAGATATACGGGGGAGTGGAGATGTAGCTCCATTATTCTTGACCTCGGCAATAGACGGAGGTCAATGTTCAGCTTCATACTCCGGCCGCTTTACCTCCGGGGAAAGTCCCCGGTGCCCATTGAATAGGAGGCTTTGTAGGCTCCAGGGCCGGTCTGGACGCTGTGGAGTATTGTCCAGCCTGTAGCCTGTCGCTATAGTGACTGAGCTATCCCGGCTCTGACCTTATGCAAAATTAAAATTTAAGGAAACACACTCCGTCTCCGCTACAAACCCAACCGGTTAATATTGTTCAGGGAAACAGTCGCTGTTTATTGTGAGAACCATATGGAACACACAAATACGTGTACATTCTGTGGGCAGAAAACTCGGTCCGTGCCTCACAGGAAACACATTACGTCTCCGCTACAAAGCCCAACCGGTTAATGCTGTTTAGGGAAACAGTCGATGTTTATTGTGAGAACCATATGGAACACACAAATACGTGTACACTCTGTGGGCAGAAAACTCGGTCCGTACCTCACAGGAAACATTACGTCTCAGCTACAAAGCCCAACCGGTTAATGCTGTTTAGGGAAACAGTTGCTGTTTATTGTGAGAACCATACGGAACACAGAAATACACTTTGTGGGTAGAATGCAGAGTTTTAGTATGTTAAAGCAGATGGTTCATATAGTAACCATTGGTTTTCATGGGTTAAAACATTTCTTATTTCAGCGTGTGGGGAGTTAGAAATGACAGCAAAGCAGAATATTACATGAAATTTATCAGGACTGTAGTGAATATGTCGTACAGCAATCTTCAGGACTTCAAGCAGTTCGGTGGAGATGTAACTCTTGTGAACATAGATCTAGAGGATCTGATCAATCAGGTAAAATATTTTTACTGTTGTCCCAAGGACACAATTGTTTGTATAGATTCACTACACGTTACGTATCATTTAACACATATTTCTGCCTTATTGGCCATCCTCAGGTACATAAAACGCATACATTTACACGTATCTTTCTTTTGTCTGGAACCTGAACAAATACTCCTACTGTGTGAACACTGGATAGTGTAGGGAGGCCTATCAGATAAATAAAAATTGTAAATTTAAGAACTCTATACACCTGAGGATGGCCAATAACGTTGAAACATATAGTAATTAAAACATAATGTATAGTGTATCTATACAAAAAAAATGTGTGGATGCAACAATAATACAATTGTCTCACACACAATGTGACGCTAAAATACAATATTTTTAGGTAAATAAATCTATACCGAGACCACGGAAATGAGTTCCACTAATGCTGGGGATGACGATACTCGAACCCTTCGCCTCCCTACCTTTTGCTCTATTCCCTTACAACTCATTCTGGCCAGTGGTTCTCACCCTGTTGCTGCTTGCGGCATGAATGGGTTTCGATTCCCGGTGGAGATAAAGATTTTTATTCAGTCCACAGCGTCCAGACCGGCCCTGGGGCCCATCCAGCCCCCTATCCGTTGGGTTTTCTCCCCCGCGGTTACCGGCCGGTGCGTGATGCTGGTTACTGACCTCCATTTAGTGTAGAAGTCAAAGACGGCGGAGCTGTATGTCCACTCTCCTATACGTCTTTATGTCGTGGTGGTTAATTAGTTAAGCACAGGAGCAACTTTACCATTATTCTTAACTTCTGTAATAAAAGAGGTATCTGCCTAAAATAAAATTATAGTAAAAGAGAAAGATAAAGTTTTGTTCAAAATAGATTAAAATTTTTAAAGGAATAAGGTAAAATGGTAAAACTGTCCTTACGCTTAATTAAGAGCTAGGCCATGATGATATATAAGGGAGTGGTCAGCTTTACGCCCCGGCCTCTCTACCCCCTGGGAAAAGTTCTCCAGTATCCATTGGCTAGGAGGCTGGATGGGCCTTGGATCTGGTGTGGACGACGTGGAGAAGAGAAAATTCTTGACCCTACCGGGACTCGAACTCCGACGCTTCGTCCAACCCGTAATCAGCCGCTATACCGGCTGAGTTATCCCGGCTCCAAGTTTATGGAAATGCAAAATTTATTTTATGAAATCCTTCCTCTTCTTTTCTTCAAAGCCACGCGTCACATTTGTGAGAACTGCACCAGCCCGTGTCGATCGGGCCGCAGCGGGCGCAATTAGCAAAGCTTACCACATGAATATCCCTACCAACATTCGTTGAAGCACAACGGCTAGACGACTGGACGGACAGGGTGGGGAGGGTTGTGTGTAGGGGACCTAATCCATGGGAACCCTCCCGTGGTCTCACTGTAATTAAATAATAGTATATGAACTTTTAATGTTATTATTATTTAATATAATTTTATGAGGGGCTGGGTGCGCCTTCACAAGTCGAACGCCGATTCCCCAGCTGTAGAGCCCATAGCCTAGTCACTACGCTGACTGAGCCACATCGCGCAATTATGATGTACAATTTCTAACTGCCGAAACTGTTTCCAGGTTTATAACGAAGGAACCGCAAAGCTCAGCGCGGACAACAGGGGGTACAAATTCACTAAGGCAATGACTGCAACTGAACTGGGCTTTTGCGTAACTTTTGGTTCACTGCTACAGACAGAATTTGTTCCGAGGTGAGTTCAACCCTAAAGTCCATCCACTCTATGAGCCAGGGTACGTCAAACCTTGTGCAGGCAACTTTGCGGAACAAAAATTCCCGTGTGTGACTGAATCTCCCACCGACACGTGGATACCGGAAATGTTTAAAAAGGAATCCAGTAATTTTTTAATCATGACGTAGTGGTCTACGTCACTGACGATGACGTATCCTGGTTGCCATAAGAGAGAGACTACATGAGACAGAATGAGAAAGGGAGGAAATCCAGAATAAGAGAAGAGATTAAGAGGGAAAGCGGTGGGAGAAGTGAGACACAATTCATTTCAGGGAGGAGAAAGGGCGCCATTTCTTAGTGCGAACAATCTTGCAAAGACAAGAAGGCGAGGCAAGTGGTGGACAGAACTCTTCGACCTTGGCCATTCTACTGTTCATGTAGGAACACATTCAGCTTCGATGTCGCAACGGTACCGAATTTTTCAACTTTTACAGCACATGCGGGAGGGCCTTGGTAATTGCCTCGCCTTCTCATTGTTGTAGGACAGTAATGGCTTGTTTAGAAGAGGAGGATTCAGACGAGAACAGAGGGAGAATGAGAGACAGGAGGAAATAATGAGGAGGGGGAGAATCCAAGGTCACGTGATGATGGAAGCAGAGATCCAGTTCCCGAAAAGCTGTGTTTGAAAAGAATGAACTAAGTGAACAACAACCAAGGTTAACCGTAAGGAACGCTATTTCATCTGGTCCCTTGACAGAGCAGGTCGCAAAACCAGGGTTTCCAGTAGCCCAGCGATGTAGGATTTCTTACTGTATCCTATCACCTGATGAGGGAAACAGAACCAGGTTCTGAAACATTCTGGTTTAATAGAAATTGTGACGGTGGATATTGTCTAAAATGTGGGCCAGTGAGGCTGTTATATTTTGCTGTTGGGGCCGAGGTTTTCAATGTGGTGATATGAAGAGTGCTGTGTCCTCAGTCGTGACGCCGTGTAGTCTGACTGACTTTTTGTAGACGTTTCGGAAAAATGCAACCCGCAAGTAGCAAACATAGAACGCAAAGAACCCTGACGATGAGGGCAGTACGTTGCTCCGAAACGTGTACTTACAAATAAAATTCTACCAGATTACACCGCATCGAGTCCAAGGAGAGACTTTGCTCATGACACGTGTTTTTTTCTTTCCAGTACAAATACGACTGAAGTGATACAGCCCAAAATGTGCAGCTACATTCTTAGAGTGTGTGCAGTGTGGTTACATTTAACGGAAAAAGCACGAGTAAGTACCTAACGGAGGGGGGGGGGTAGCGTTGAGGCACTGTGTTACAAGCTGGAAAGTCGATGGTTCGATTCCCGATGAGGCTATTGGATTTTTCAATTAACCTAATCCTTCCAGCGGCACTATGGCCCTGGGGTCGACTCAGCCTCTAACAGAAATGAGTACCAGGAATCTTCCTGCGGATAAAGGGCGGCCGGAGCTTAAGGGTGACAACCTCACCGCCATCTCTGAGCAGATTACTTAGAAAATGTGGGAGCCTCGACGTCTCACAACCCTATGGGTCTCCACGGCCTGTTACCTTTTTTGAAGTACCTGCTAGTCACTATACCGACTGAGCTGTCTCGGCATCTCAACTGTCTGCCCCTCCAGATCGCAATTCATTCTGTCCACGAAGTCCCGGACTCCAGCAACAGACCGTACGAGAGCAAGTTTGGCAAGACGTATTCTCTGGCAGTGAAAAACATGTTAACGGTGTCGTCCCCTGAGGTGAGGCAACTGCCGATACACCGCCGACGCTGTCAGTACTTGAACGAAACAGAGGGCTTCGGAATCCCCGTCTACACATACAAATTGTGCAGAATGAAATGCAGAAGAAAGCTGGCCATCAAGATGTGCGGCTGCTCGCCCCCACTGTACCAGCAGCTGGGGAACCTACGTGAGTACCCGTGAGGCTTGGCAACCATTTACTGCACACTGTCTCTGAAAGAAATCACTGTTTCGTTGCTTGGCAACCCTCTAATGCACATTATCTGCAGATAATCGCTGTTCCGTTGCTTGGCAACCAACTGACGCACATTATCTGTGAGAAGAAACACCGTTTCGTTGCTTGACAATTGCCTGATGCACATTATCTGTGAGAAGAAACACTCTTTCGTTGCTTGACAACCAACTGGTGCAAATGCGTGATGCACATTATCTGTGAGGAGAAACGCCGTTTCGTTGCTTGATAATTGCTGATGCACATTATCCGTGAATAGCAGCCCTGTTTTTTTCCTTGAGAACAATTTACTTCACATTATCTTCATTAAAACGAAACGAGAATTCTAACAGTTCAGCGTTTTTTCAGATACCAAGAGCGTTATACAATAACTCCCCTGCCACAAACAAACACAATAAAAAACTAAGAAAACATATTACTCAGTATGCGTGGTGTCTAGATCATGTGACAACAGATACTTATGAAGCACCAATTAAGGACACATTCACCTGTAACTAGTGCCGACGTCAAGAATACGTGGATCCATACATCCACTTCCCCATATGTGCCTAATTAGTTAAGCACAGGGAAAACTTTGATTTTTATTTTAAAATTAGCACAGAACAAGAGCAAAGAATCAAAATTATATAGAAATTATTGCGGTATTTATTATTATTATCGGTTGATTTAACTGTGCTGATAATATTTTGGATTATACTGCGTCAGAAGAGAGGATGGTTAACGTATAAAGGATTGAAGAGTGTGTGGAAGAAGAGATTCTTGTCTTAATTTAATATACTAAGCCAGAATTTGCCTGGAGGAGAAACATCTGCTTTCCGAGCAGAATATTAATAAGATCCCGTGTTTCGCAGGCTCGCACAAGACGTGCGGCGTCAAAGGGCTCATCTGTCTGGGTGACAACATTAGCCGTCTGCTGAAGCTGGTGGACACGGAGAACAAAACAGTTCCATGCGCCTGTCTGCCCATGTGCGAGAGCGCCTCATTCCAAATTGTGGAAGAAAAATTTGAGAATCTGTCTGTATTATATTACCCTTGTTTCATATATATCATGTGCCAGATTAAACCTCTCAAGCCTAAAGTTCATCTCCGTAATATGTAAAAAAAAAAAAACGCAAAACTATGAGCACTTCTTCATGTAGAACTGATCTTGACTGAATTACGTTGGAAATTAAACCTACTGTTGCTAGGCAGAGAACTGGTCCATACCTAACAAGAACGGAAACCGTCCGACCAA